TTGGGTTCTCCTTCTTTCTTTTAGTGTCATTTTTTTTGTCAGGACTTTTTGGTGTCTTTTTGTTAGTTTTTTAGAGTGATAAGAGTGTCTTTAGCGTCGATTGTATTTTGTTTTTAGAACTTTTAGGGGGGACACCGTGGATTTTATCACACTGGCGCGGGGACAAGCCGATTTTCCCATGCCCTCTTAAGGAACAAAGGACTACTGTCTGGGGCTCCCTTGCGGTTTCCCCAGGGTGCATAATCTGGGTGTGTCATTTTGTCAAGATGCGCTTTTCAGGCCGTCGGCAGACTTCATATGAGGGTTTCTCAAAAATCGGGGTGGTTGACTTGTGTTGGGTTCCCCTGAAATTCAAAGGGACGACAATGGACATCGGCCCTAGGTGGAGCACATGGTGTCCCCCTTCAACTTGGCGGCTTGCCGGGAGACGGGCTCCACGGTGACCAGCTGCCGCTGGGCACCCAAGGCGGGGTGTCTCGAAGCTGAACCGATTTACGTGCTGGAAAACGGTGGGTTCGCTTGCAATCTGAACACCGTGTCCAACCTTTTTTGTTTGGGGTGGTTTCAACAGGCCCCAGGTGTCTCTTTGATCTGCCTGGGCACTTGGGCCAGTGGCTTTTTGCAAGGGGAACTTGGTTGGCCCACTCCCGTTTACACCAGTCAGCCCTTTTTTTCGGTTTCGACCATTTCAGTGGCTGGTCTAACATCCGATTGCCTGTTGAACTGCCAAACTTAGCTTTTGGTGGATGTTTTCACACTGTGAGGCCAAGAGGTTTCAGCTTTCTCAGGCCTTGAAAGGAATGTCGCCTAAAAGTGATGCGGAGGCAACGTTTCGACAGTTCTGAGGGAAGGCTTCTCGGGTTGCTTAAGGCAAGCTCCGCGAGGTTTGATGGCAGCTTGACATGCACAGGATACCAGAATCACTTGTCCCATGCCATTCGACCTGTTGGTGCCCAGATTTTAGGCCTCCAAATGCAAACCTTTCGATTTGTCCAGGTCCTTCAGAAGCTGGTACCACCACATTTACCAACTGCCTGCAGAAGCAACATCTTCTTTGCATCAAGCATTGCTTAGCAATGCTGTTGTTATCGCGTTTGGTTTGTTCCTAAAATAGAGATCGGATCCCACAAAGCAATGTTGGCTCCCTTTTGGATCGTGTTCACACCAATAAAAAAAGACGCCCCCTTCTCTTCGAAGTCTTGGGACATCCTCCCAGTTTGACTCAAGTCCAAAGCACACTCGAACTGGGGGTGGCGTAGATGGTCATCACCTTTATAAGTCCTTCACCGCAGTTCAAATGTTTCCTGTCGAGGGCGCCACGACCATGGCCAATCAAGCAGATGTGGCTCTGAATTTAAATCAGGAACTCAAACATGGTGGAGATAAATTCCAATGTGCACTACAAGGTCCAGTCGCTTGAAAACCTTTTAACCGTTTGGTGTCCCTACTTTGGTCCATATTTACCCAAGGTTCCAAAAGGTGATCACCATGTTTCAGGAAGCGCTGCTCCCCCAATGTTCAGGAGGACGCGGAGGGCGCGGCTCCGGGCGCGGCTCCGGGCGCGGCTCCTTGGCGGCCCGCCTGGCCTCTGAGCTACTTCTGCGGCGCACCGCAGCTGCGGAAGTGGGGGGCGACGCCACAGGACGGAGCTCCTTGCCTTTGGCAGGGACTTGCGCGGGGGTGCGGCTGCTTGGGACGATGGACGGGGCGGACATTCTTGTCTTTCCACTTTGCCCTTTTTGTTTGAGAAGTGGGGTATGGAATGGGTGTTTTTTTTTTTCTTAGCCCTGTCTTTTGCTTAGCCCTGTCCGACCCGGTTGGTTGGTTGGTTGGTTCTCGGCATTTCGGCCTTCGGAACCGATTTCCGGATGGGGCATTAGTCACTCCATTGCCTGGCCCCCCGAAAGAGCAGCACACAAAGCCCACTCTGTTTTGGACTTCGGGACCGACTTCTGGAGAATAAAATGCACGAGAAATTAAAGCCACCAAAATTATCATCATTTGACATGCTGGGCCGCCAGTTCGCGCGGGGGGTGTCTCTCTTTTCCTGTATGTTTGGCATTCACAAGTCCACTCTTAGCCATGCACTCCCGCTGGTACTGGCTGAAGCCTGGTGCCTAGACACTCTTCCGCTACAGCAATAGTACAACGCGACAGCCAAGGGCGTCCAGTATTGCTGTAGCGCAACAGTGTCTAGGCACGAGGCTTCAGCCAGTACCAGCGGGTGCACATGGAAACTCCATACTGGACGCCCTTGGCTGTCGCGTTGTACTATTGCTGTAGCGGAAGAGTGTCTAGGCACCAGGCTTCAGCCAGTACCAGCGGGAGTGCATGGCTAAGAGTGGACTTGTGAATGCCAAACATACAGCAAAAGAGACACCCCCCGCGCGAACTGGCGGCCCAGCATGTCAAATGATGATAATTTTTGTGGCTTTATTTTATTCTCCAGAAGTCGGTCCCGAAGTCCAAAACAGAGTGGGCTTTGTGTGCTGCTCTTTCGGGGGGCCAGGCAATGGAGTGACTATTGTCCCATCCGGAAATCGGTTTCAAAAGCCGAAATGCCGAGAACTGTTGCACTCTTACTGTCCAGAGCGTGTCCCAACCAAGTAACTCCGGGTAATGAAACTGAGCCCCAGAACGGAGACAGGGTTAAGCAAAAGACAGGGTTAAGCAAAAAAACACCGTACCCAGTGGGGTATTTGCAGGGATCCAGTGTTTTTTCCTCCTAGGGCTGGCTGTTTTTTCTAGGCCTGGTCCCCTGGTTGGGTTGGTTGGTTCGTTGGTTGGTTGGTTGGTTGGTTGGTTGGCTGGCCGCATCCCCGGCATCACCAGCCTTACTGGCGAAGGGCTGACATCCAGGCTGCCGTTGGGCGGGTTTGGGGTTGACTTTGAGTGGGTTTGGGTTGGTTTGGAGCTGATTTGTGTTAGGTGTGCTGCTGGTTTAGCAGCGGCTTTAGGGTTGCTCTCGTTTAGGATCGGTTTTGGAGCGTTGCCCCAAACCACCAAAACTCGCCCACAACTCACTTAACCACACCCCAAAGAAACCCGAAAGCCGCTGCTAAACCAGCAGCACACCCAACACAAATCAGCTCCAAACCAACCCAAACCCGCAACCCCAAACCCGCCCAACAGCAGCCTGGATGTCAGCCCTTCGCCTAAATCAACCCCAAACTGCCCCAAGACCTACCCTCGTGAAGATCTAAGCCACAAGCCCTGATAACTTAAACCAGCCCTCCCAACTGCCACCCAATCAGCCAGGTCCAAATGATGCTGGTGATGCTGAGGATGTTGCCACAGCCCTAGGCAAAAACCAGTGCTGGGCAAAAACCAGCCTTGGTAAAAAAATAACACCGTTACCCTATTTGCAGGGCTTTGGGTCATTGGAAGGGTTTCACGCCCAGATCACGCCGCCCTAAGTCCAGCAACTTTACACGAGATGTGGGGAGGCAAAGGTGGGGACTAAGTCCCTTCCTCTTGCAAAGAGACAAGATGGCGAGCTTCCTTGCAATTCATGTTCCCAGAATCAAACCATCCGTGTTTGAGGGTTTTTCGCAGCACCCGCAACAAGAATCAACTCGAGAAAGAACGCAAGGACCATACGCAAGCAGAACCACACTTACATTTCTTCGACAGGACGTGATGGAGGCGGCGGTGGAGAGCAGTGAGAGTTCCGCGTCCCTGCAGGAGGGTGACAAGGGCGTGCTGGTGGAGCTCCTGCAGTTGGAGGCTTGGCGGTCCGGACGAATTTTGATCTCCGTCCATTTTCCCAAGAACATCATTTTTCTTTTTAAAGGGAATCTACCACAACTGGACATATTTTTTGTTCCAGGGGGCTTAAGCAAATGGTCGTCTCTGAAGGTGCCAAAGAAAGGCGAAGTTTTTGATAGGCCTCCAATGGAGAAAGGAGCGGTGCGCGGTGGTTTGGGAAACTGCCTTTCCCAAATTTCAATTCTGTCAGCAAGAAAGGGTGCTGAGGTTGAAGAAGCACAAAAAGTCGTCCTTTAATAAATTTGGGTAGCCCTCTTTTGCTGCAAAAAGACGAGAACTTTTTTTGGATGGTCCATCACCCTGTTGTTCACTCCCGTGTTTGTTTGAAGGAAGTACATGGAAGTGCACAGGCGCTGCTTTCCCAAAAAGACATTCGTTCACAGAGGGTTTGCGCACGATTGCTGGTCTCTTTACTGGAGAGTTTTGCTTCTGCGGGGTCAGTTGTCCCTGATGAACAATCTCTCAAGAACTTTGCCGTTGTCCACTGTAAAGGGGGCGGCACTGGGCACACTTCCCGGTTGCCAGTAGGAATTAGCGGGAGTGACCATGACTCATATTCTTGCAATGGGTGTCAACAGATACGGGCCTCTTTTCTTGATGGGTGTGAAAGGACACCAGCATTACTCAATCCATGTTTGAGCGTCTAGTTCTGGGACATAACCAAGTTCAACGGCAACTCAAAGCATATCTGATAGAGGATCCCTTGTGAGACAAGCCCGGGATGTATGTCAGAAACTGGATTCAAGACGCATTGGACAGATCGTAGCTTTCCTCCCACTCTATTGTTGCTCTCTCTGACCTCTCACACAAATTCCCCGGAAAGGCTACATGTTCTAACAGACGGGCGTCTCCTCATGTTCCACGTTGGAGGGAGGCTTCTTCATGCCACGCTAAACTACCGCACTGCTTACCTTGTTGTTTGCCATGAGACTTTGGGGCCCTCAGCCGCTCAGCAGGGTCCGCGTCCAAATCTTTCAGCGCAGGACGCTGAGCTGCTGGTGAGCCCTAAGGGCCCCTTGCCAGAGGAGTGCCTTCGCAAGCTCAAGTGCCCGTGAGAAACGGCAGCTTTCGCGCAGGGGTTTGAAGGGCGGCATGGATGGGGGGGTGGAGTGGTCTCAGGGCGATTTTAAGACCTGAGGTTCTCTGTAGCTATGGATAGGGATGGCCATCACTCATTGAGTGATCATTCACGTGAAGGTCACTCTCCTTTGACCCGAGAGTTGGACTGTCAGGGCCAGCGTCGCGACATCAATGATCCGGCACGGAGCTTAGTGCTTTCTCGCTGTGCCAGGGGTAAAGGTGGTCTTCCATGCGCGCGTTGAAAGGTACAGCCTCCGACTCTACGGGAGATTCTATTGCCCCCAAACCTCAAACCGGCTGCGAGGGAAGATCTGGTACTCAGCCTCAGTGCATCCATTCTCGTGCTCACTGATTTCACTATCCCTTCAGTGATTCTTTCAAGACACGTACTCATTTTGCTGGTGCGAAAGAAAATGTGGGAATGACACAGGCTTTGGTCCCCTTAAAGGAAAACAGCAGTTGGATGGTTTGTAAGGGTCATTCCCTCATGCAAGTTATTTGGGTTTGTCTCATGGTTGCATGGCTTCCCTTTGTCCCTCGAAGTGCGCGGATTTCCAAGGAGGCAGCGGGGGCCCAGAGCATGACGGCCATGGACCTGTCCAAGGCGACAACGGGCGGTCTGCTCTTTGAGAAGTCTAACTTCCCATGTACTTTGCCTCCTGCCGACTAACGTGGAGCACAGACCCCTGCAGTGCACTTCCCTGTTACCGTTTTTGGGCTTGTTCAAGGGAACCATCAGCTCGAGTTCTTTGGGTGTGTTGGGGGGGGAGGTCGTAATGTGGTGTGAAAATCAAGATTCTAAGAAAGACACCTTTTTGCGCTTTTTCAGTATTTTCACCCCCTCAATGCAGAGATGCTGGTGATGCAGGGTCTGCATCCCTAGCATCCTCAGCATTACGTGGCACATCCTCTGGCACACACGGTTTTTGGTGAGCCCCTCTGGCATGCCTGCGAATCGTTGCCTTACCAAAACCATGCCTCCGGAACGAGCCCCTCTTCCCTCCTATTGTTGTTGGGAGCTGAACTGGCTCGAGTTTGGTTCTGTCAGGCAACTGCCCAAGGTTCATTTTTGGGGTAGCAAGCCCTCAACAACCTCAAATCCTTGACTCAAATAGAAACCGCAACTTACTAGAAGGGAAAGGATGGAGCCCGCTGGACAACCATGAAGAGACCCCCGCAACAGACTACAAGAAGTTGGATCTTCACCAAACCGGGTAGTGTTCCGTGTCCTCTTTCTTCCAGTTGAACAACGCCAAAAGCTGGCTTTCCGATTGCATGTTGCTTTCCTATATTCCTGCAATCCAGAAGGCCGCAATGCTGGTTGCTGATGACTGGCTTTTCGGTTTCCTTTTCGCCTTGACACCATTTTATGCGGTGCAGTCCTTTGTAGGTCACTTTGTTTGAACAGAAATGGCACTGGTCTCAGTTTTATTCGAACCACTTCAGAAGTGCCATCCACTTGTAACAAGACGCCTAGCTTCCGAGCGCTCTGTTGGTCCTTGTCTCCTTGTCGAGAGGAGCTGGTGAAAGGCGTTGTGACCGAAAAGCTCAAGACTCGCGTGGACTACATCATGAGCATGGCTGGCTTCCCAGAATACCAAGCTCTTGCTGAAAATCCTTCCCACTAGGGCAATTTCGGATGGACGTCCCTTTACTGGGTGGTTCCCACCATTTGTTTTTGTACCGGTACCGTTTAGGCGGTTTCTTTTGTGGCAACAAAAAACCTGCTTGGGTTTGACTATAGGCTCACGCGCTGTGCACCTTGCTGTGCCCAGGTACCGACCTATGCGGACTGGCTAGTTGAGTGCCTCGACTTGTGGCAGTCTTGGGTTGATGGGCTTTGACCCAACTGCTCCTCATTGATTCGTTTTGAATCACCATTTTTGAGGAATTGGTTGGAGGTGGTGTTGGGATTCTGATAAAGGGAGCCACTCAGGGTACAACTTGGAGCCCTTGGTGGTGGAAGTTTCTTCGAGAGGCAGCCGTGTGCTCATCGCCATCTCAGGTTTTTGGGCAGCTACTTGCTGCCAAAATATCAGCAGGAGAGGGGGGCGGACGCACTTGGAGAATGGCACATTGCTCACATGGCAGGATAGTTTGGTGAGTACTTGACTACCCTCACAGACAGCCAGATGAGAAGTGTTGGGCCCGCCTGCAGAAATTCGCCCTGCTGGCTCTGACGCCTTTTCAGGTTCTTTCTATCTAAAAATCCCACCGTCGTGGGCCGCTCGGAAACGCTGGGACAGCGACCGCCGGACTGGCCCAAAGCTCGCCAATCAAACTCCATCCGGCCCCCGAAAAAAAGGACATCGTCCCAGAGGGCGTTGGTTTAGCGTCCAGCGCCGCTTGCGCGGTCCGGTCTCAAGCCGTGACGCCATGGCCTTCCGATGGACCCGAGGCCTCGGCGCCTTGCGGCGCCTGGGCGCCGGGGCGGTGGTCACCGCCGGCATCGCGTGCCCGGCCTACGAGCGGAGGCGGGGTTCGGGGCTGGGGGCGAGGTGGGAGGCACCTGGGGCTTGGTTTGGGGCTGGCCTTGAGTATGTTTTGTCTTTTTCGGGAGGGGGGGCACAAATCACTTGTATCATGAGTTATTTTTTTCGTCTGGTGGGTGGGTGGGTGGTTGGTCTCCATCGGTCGGGGACACAGCTCACATTGGCTATGGCTCGTGTCTCAAGTATCGCTAGTTGGTTTCTTGTTTCAAAGCCCACGTCTACGTCTGGCCAGTGCTTCACTGCTGAGGGGAGTCAAAGCCAAATTGTGGTAGCAAGGGAATCCACCCGAAGCCATGTGAGGGAACACTGTTGCCGCCTCTTTGTCTTTCTGCTGGCTTGCACCCTCCCACCCATCAACCAGGTCGAATGATTTCAGTACATGTGTCAAAACTGCTTGGAGTCTTTCAGAATGCCTGCTTTCACAATTGGTCGTTTTGATTACAGGCCCTCTTGTGCCAAGCGTCAATGCAGATATTTGTCTTGCTTCGCCAAAGGTTTAAGGGATCGTGAGACATACCCTTCCTACCGCTAACATAGCACCTCACAGCGGGGTTCCTTTAAGAAGAAACTCATTTGCCAGGTACCCTCTCAGAGGTGCCAGGTGCCTTCTGTTTGTTGGAGGAAGGGTATTCTGTTGGCCCCCTCGGATAAAAACATTTAGCTTTACATCGCAACTACTGCCTAGGGTCTGCACGGATCTGGCGACCTAAACTTGAATTCTCCCTGTGCGAGGTGGTTGCTATTTGGTTCTGACACCTTTAGCCAGGCTCATTTAGGTGACCAAATCACTTTTCATTTTTTTAGGGGTGCGGGGCGAGATGGATATAAGAGAGTGAAGCGTCCAAACGCTCCCAATCCTCGCTAATCCTCTTTCCACTTCCTTCTTCATCCCTTTCCCGTCTCTGGCATATTGGCGAAGCGAGAGAAAGGGACGAAGGAAGAGGCAATCATTTGCAACCGCTGGAAAGAACTGGCCACCGGATGGAGGAGGAGATGGACTACCAAAGTAGCTGTCATGTCCATCCTATTTCCTCCTCCCACTCAACCATCCAAGCATTACCAATCAAAATGAGTGGATAATAATGGATGGAGAAGACAGATGGTGACCAAAAGCCATTTCTGTCTCCAGCTGTCTCCCTTCCCAATCCCAATGGTTCCCACCGGGTTTTTCCTTGCCGCATGTTTTGGGGTCCTCTTTTTTGTTTTGTTTTTTCTCGCGGGGTTCTGTTGGCGCCAGGCGAGAAAATGGCGTCCGCATGGACTCGAGGGACTCGAGTCTAGAGGCCCGCGTGCGCACGCTGGAGACGAAGCTTCGGGCCATGGAGCTGATTAACCAGGAGGAGATTCGGGCACTTTGGCCAAAGACATGCGTGTACATTCAGCGCGTGTATGTGTATGCGGCTATGGGTCCAAATTAGACCGCCAGGGCACCGCAGGTTCTAGTGCTTGGTTCCATTATCTAGCGTTCCATTTTGGGCCTTTGGGTACCCATTTTTGACCCACACCCATGTGTGTGTGTGTGTGTTTGGATTTTATGAGTACGGCCTGACTCAATTTAGATGATGACAATATGATTGCATTAAACCCTCGCGGTTGTGGGGTGGTTGGAATCCCAGACTTTATGTCTTGCCTCAGTTTGAGGCATTGGAGACCATCAAGATGGCTGCAAAGCAGCATGGCCTGGACATTGCAGGTGGTACCATTCGCAGGACTTCCTCCCGGTTTTGCTTAGGCGTGGAGCACGGCGACTACAACGGCACGGAGCTCTTCGGGGTCGGCACAGATCGCTTCATTTGGACACTTCGCGTGGGCGATTTGGCATGTGTCTGTTGTTTCTTGTTTCATTGATCTGGAGATCGAACCTCGGATTTTGGGGTTTCGAACTGCACGGAAGGATGGCTTACAAGCCCAACACTTCGGGAAAGATCCGGATCTATAGCCAGAACTTCCCCCAGGAAGGTGTGGTGGAGTTCGCGCCGGGCAAGGTGCCACCGGCCAAGGAGCAGATCTGGCCAAACGCGGGGGTGTCCTCTTGGTTTCCAAGCAAACGGTTGGCCAGATGGATGGTTTTCTAGTTCCAAAGGTTTTTTTGGCCGCATGGTGGTCGTTTAAAGCAAACGACGGACACGTCGGCAACTCAAGATGATGGTCTCTTTGGGTTTGGAGCAGGTGGTGAACCCATATTTCAAGAAGGATCTTTTGAATGGCGACTTGGGCGAAGGGTGTTGAAGCAGGAGGGTGCGTCCCAAAATGGGGAAGCCCGCTGGCAAATGGTTGGCTTGCCCTCACTGGCTTGTTGGACACCATCTGAGAGGGTCCTTTTTCAGATGGCCAGGACCCATCCATCTCAGACATCTGGGGTCGCTTCCCCTACGGCGTGGAGCACGTCTTGCGGAAGAACGGGCTGGCGGCCAACCAGGGATTCGACGCCGTGTGCCTCGGAGCGGGGTCCTACTTTTAGAGATCCCAACTCAAATACGTGCCCTGGTGCTTGACATTACTGGCAGGGGGTTTAAGCAAACCTCATTTGAACAATAATTCAGATGTCAAAAACTTGAAGGTTAGCATGTATGGGGACAGTCGCCAACCTAAATACACCAATAAATGGTTGCCGCACGAAGCCCTTTTGGACTTTCGACTTTGAAGAACCTGGCTTCCGCTTTTCCAACAGCCTCGCATGTCATGGCATGCTCACCGGAAAACTGACTGACATCGGGCTTTTGACCTGCCTTGTGCACAAGCGGGTAGGCCGGTGTCCGGGGCCAGGATTTCAGGGAATAACTTTGCACGCAAGAAGGCGCCGTACCAAGGCGAAAGAAGTACCTTGTTCTGTCATTTCCACTGCTACCTAATTTTCAGGAACCTGGAGTTTGCTCACGAAACCTCAGCCAAGGCTGGTGGGGAACATCCCGGGGGGCGGCATGTCGCGGTCGGCCTCCTTGGTGCGATGCTAAGATGGATCTGAGTCTCAAAGGGAAGCCAATATGAAGCCAGAAAAAGGAATTGGTCCAAGTGGTTTTGAGTCGCATGCTCACTTACCATGAATAATTTTGGCACGTGCGTTTCTCATGGACTTAAGCGGGCGACTTTTGTCAGCACAAAACAATGGCAGTTGCTAGGTCTACTTCCTTTATATGACATTTCTACGTGTGTATACTATTCTTGCGGTTGAGGTCTTAAATCTGATGCTGACCATGCTGGATATCAACAAGAAGTCCCTGCCGGAGGGCGACTTCCGAGTGGTGCCTTGGCTGGAGTCATCAACTAGGTTGGTTCAGCGCGGACCCACAATGTGGTGGCTTCCTTTCGGGTTTTTGCGAGACGTTGTCAAAACTGGGGTCATTATGTGGTCAAACGGCACATCAAGATTGTTTTTGGTCCTTGGAAAGTCCTAACAATCTACCGCTTGACTGGAGGGGCAATACAACCAGATGGTGATGCTGAAGTTCCTTTCAACCCAAACGACCCAAACTCCTGCACATTTTCGGGTTGAAAGCGGTGAACAGGAACCTTCCCGCGGTTTTCCATTCGTTGATCTCATGACATAGGACCTTTTTAACGGCAAAAGCCTTGGCCGGAGGTCCAGATGGCACAGCAGGTGGAGAATGACTACATCGGAGACTTGACACGGTGAGTGTCCGAGTTGGGGTGGCAATCAGATAGGACTGACGGCTATCACAGATTTGGGTGTGGTTGAAGCTGCCCCTTTTTGGGATCGGCTGGAAGGGAAGCCAAAACGACACCGAAGCCCATCTTGATATAGGAGACCCTAATTTTGGGACACATCCATTCGAGGCCCGACTTTTGACGCTCCTGAAGTCGACCAGGAACACCGTGCGGCAATCTGGACCAGATTATGATCTACTATGCGAAAGACGGGATGGGCACACGCTACAATCCCAAGACCAACAAGGCCCAGAAGATGTTGCATTCAGATGTGTTTTTGCAGCGTTCCATTGGCTTCTTTCTTCCGTCTATCTAGACGCTGACGCAACAGCAGGCCACTGGGAACTCTACCCTTCATTTCTCATTCACTGCGCTTTCCTTTCTCCCTTCATTTCACTTAGTTTTCCTCCATGTGCATTCCATCATGTTCGTTCATGTCCCCTCATTTCTTCCCTTCATGTCACTCGGCGGGCACTTCCCTTCATTTCTCATTTCATCTCTCATCTTGATGCCATCAATTCCCTTTTCAGTTTCCTTCATTTCATGTCCTCTCATTGTGATTCAATTTCCCTGCATTTCCCTTCATTTCCCATCATTTCCCATCGTTTCGCTTCACTTTATTTCCTTGCATTTCCCTTATATCCTCTTGATCGCTTTCATTCCTCATTTCATGTCTCTCATCTCCCTTCAATATCCTTCATTATCCATGTCATTTTCCTTCATTGTCCTTCATCTCTCATCTCATTCCCCTTCATTCACGTTCATACCCCTCCATTTCCCCTTCATTTCTCTTTGTTTCCCTCTTCATTTCCCTTCCTCAGTCCTTTTCCGCCAGTTCTCACCTTCCTTTGTTTCCCTTCATTTCCTTTCGTTTCCCTGCAGTTCCCTTCATTCCCTTCATTCCCTTCATTCCCTTTTCCCTTCATTCCCTCCATTTTGCATCGACAGCATACCCTGCATCATCCGCGCCAATTGGCATGATGTCGGCAGTGCTGGAGATGCTGTCCGGCGCAGCGCAAAACGGACCTACATGTTCTGCCATGCCAGGATTCCGGCCATTTAGTTATGATTGAATTTCCCTTCAATAGCCTTCCCTCTTCCTTCATCTCACGTCACTCTCCTTCATTTGAGTTCCATCGTTTTCTTTCGTCAACAAAACGGGTTGCAAAGCGCGTGTTAGCGTAAGGCAACGGCAGAAGGGCACTGAGAAGGGCAATTCGCTTGATCGCTTGCTGGCAGTTGCCAGCTCGCAGCTGCGCCTCGAACGAGCGTTGGACGCGGAGGCTGTTTTCGTGTTGGTGCCAGTGTAACTTGCAGCGCTTGTTGTGCAAATGCGAGAGATGCGCCTTGCCAGTGACCACTGCAACACACCGACTTGGAAGAGCTGCTGGGCTTGCGGTTGCACGAAGTTGGGTTTGACATCCGTAGACGGGATGACGCAGGAGAGTTTTGTGCAAATGCTTTTGAAAAGAAGTCCGGACTTGCGCAGCTGTTTTGCGCCAGAAACATGTCACCACCAGTGGCTGTCGTGGCACAGCCAGCGACACAAGTGAGCAAGAAGTCTTGGGGACGAACTTGGGGAATCGGACCTAATTGCTGCCTTGGGGCAGGACATGACAGTGGCAGAGCTTGACACCATCCACGCGTTGCGGAGAAACAGAGTACTTGGCAGAACGTGTGATTGTTTGGGCCTGCGCGTTGTCCGTGATGCGCTGCAAGACTGCAGTGGTGCGCGTGCCGATCTCCTGTCATGTCTTCCCTTCATGTCCGTTTCTTGCATCGCTTCATGTCCCGTTTGTTCTCCCATTTCACTTCCATTCGTTTGTCGTTTGCTTTTCATTTCTCCGTTTTCTTTATTTCATATGCCCGGATTTCTCCGACTTCCCTTCATTTCCTTCATGTCACCTTGCTTTATTGTCTTGCACTTCCCTTTGTATCCTTCTGGTCTCTTTAATTTCTCAGTTCATGTCTCTCATCTCCTTTTCTTCCCTTCATTTTACTTCATCTCTCATTTATGTCCCTTCATGCCCGTTCACTCCCTTCGGTTTCCCCCTCCGTTTCCCTTCATTTTCCTGGTCAAATCCCTTCATGTTCCTTCATTGCATTTCCCCGATCATGTCCCTTTTTTATTTTGCTCTACTTTACTCTCCTTTCGTGCAAAACCTTGCATCTGCAGAAAGCAGTCTTTTCTGCTCATTTCTCTGCTTCCACGTGCAGGTCAGATCATACTCGAAACCTGTGCGAAGCGACACTCTACAGCGCACAGCAACAAACACTACATCTAAGACCCGCACGCGTTTCTTGTTGCCTGGTTCAATTGGGCTGCCCAAGCCTCCCAGGCTGCAGGGTGGACAGCCAAAATCGAGAGGAGTCCAGCGCTGGGCGCCCGCAAAGAATGCCCGTTTTTTGGCCTCCGCGGGGAGATCCTCAAAAGTGGACCAAGCAAATCTGCAAATCCTTAAAGGAAGTACACCGGGCAAGCTCCACAGTGAGCAACAGACTACAGTGGCCGGGCAAGAGTTGCGCTTCTTCAAGTTCAGAATTATTACATACAGCTCTGCCACCTAGATTCCTGCGTTCAAAAACACAACAACGATATTCGACCTGCAGTTGACCGGATATGTTTTGAAACAGGTAGACAAAGATTTCACGTTTGTCAACAGGATTGCTAGTTTGGAAGAGACATCCGTGCGGTTTAGATCAACACCACCACCCCTCAGCCTTTGTGCAAGGATGTGAGTTTCGGTCAGTGAATCGTTTGTGGTAAGGTTCCATTACCCTTTGCCACTTTAAACCACGGTTTCAAAATTAGCATGTGATCGTTTGGGACAAATTTAAACGGAACCTGCGCTTTTCGATCCGCTCTTGTTGCTGACGCTCAGAGATGAATTGCTTTAGTTGGTTTCCCTCTGCAATTCCTTTGAGTCTCCTTGGCTTCATTTGGGTTTTGTTTTGGGTGTCCTTTTGGGTTTCCATTGGCTTTTCTTTGGGATGTTTTGTTGGGTATTCCTTTGGGTGTCTCCTTGCGCCTCCTTTCCGTTTCCTTCCGGGTTTGTTTGGTTTCGGCGCTTCCGTGTTTGCTTCGGGGTCGGTTTCGCCACTGGGTTCCCGCTGGGCTTCCTTCATTCGCATCAGCTCAAAGTGTCCCGCTCACGTTGGTACACACACACACACCCGAACTTAGGCCGCGAGTCGGGGGTTCCCGAACTTAGAAACCCGCCAGGTGTTTTAGAGGGCTGTTCAACGGGAAAGCCGGGGTGCTTTACTTGGGTATGCTCAATCACAAAGGGGGGTCTAAAATACAAGTGGTAAACCTCACACGGGAGTGATACGGCCAAAAATGAACAATCTCTGCGAAGAGGAGACACCGTCCCATGACAAATCAACCAGAGGTTTGTTCAATACGCATTAAACTCCAATTCGGTCTTATAGAGCACTCTTGATATTATATATGAATTTTTAAGTGACAACCAACTTGTTTATTTCTAACCAGCCAACACTGTATTCCTTTTGACATGAAACAAGAACGAACTCTCAACACCAACCAACTTGGTTAAATTCTTGCTTTTTGGAGTCACAGTCGAGGCTGGTGTAGTTTTTGCCGTTAAACACGAAGGGGGCTACGAGGCAACGAGCTTTCCAGCGGCCGCGAGGTGTCCTACGTGCCGCTGGGCATCGACACCAACGAGTTCTGCATCGCCGCCCTGGACACGGGGACGGTGCGCCACGGGCTCGAGAAGTCCACCTACGCGGTGCGCGTCAAGGAGCCGTCGGGTGAGGAATTTGTGCGGGTCATGGAGGGGTCTTTAGATCTGCAGGTGGTGTGGTCACTTTTTTCCATTTTTTTCCGGGAAGGAGATTTGACTTCAAAATCAACCAGAAGAAAGGGGGGGCCCCTGTTTTCCCCCCACACTGGCACACTGGATCCAGGATGGTCCTATGACCACGCAAGACCCTAATGCGGACAACCCCGCAGAACCCCTAGTAAGTTAAGGGCATCTCTAACCATGACTAATTGAAGTTGGCAAGCTTTTGCGCGAGCCACCCTGTCGGGAGATGACTTTTGCGCGCGGCTGTTGAACACATGGAATCTCTGCGCGTTTCTGGCGCAAACTTGCACTTCCCATACTGCACCTGGGAAAGCAAATGAGTCCCGCGATTCTTATGGAAAACTTGGTGAGTCTCTCATGTGCCTCCCCGATAGACCATAGGCAACTCGAATCTTTGACCGAACCTCGCCTGACCCGCGCTCTAACCATTCAAGCAGCCGAGGGCAAGGGATGGGGGCAGGGAAGCCACAAGGGGGGTTTGTGGCCCCCGGTTTTAATGAGTTTCCATGGAGAGCCACCCATCTTCAGGAATTTCTCCAAGTTCTGAGACAGGGGGATGAGAGCGAGGCACAAACGTTTGTCTCCATTCATATGGAACTTTTGAACCGTGGTGTGTGGATAACACCCCTACGCAAACTTACCAAAGGTCCCCAACTCAATTCCCCCCCCCCCCTCATATGAGCATCGAGGGAGGATCCGATGCGACAAGGTGGGAAATCGCAGGCGCTGCCGCTTTTGTTGTTCTTGATTCGAAAGGACGGGCTTCAAGACGTTGAAGCTAGGAAACATGGAAGGTTCTATTCGACATGACCTTTCGAAGGAGTGTTCTGAATGCGGCTCCCCGTCCTCCCTACTGTGGTTGATTCTTAGGGGCACTGCGGAACGCTGTTCTTACCAGCATGCCAATTGATTTGGATGGCTTGATTGGTAAAGCAAGCTTCCACGCCGGCACTGGCATGCGCTTGGAAACACGATATCCTATGCTTAGATCCACAGGAGTGCAATGAGTTCGTGGCCATGCTGCAGAAGAAGGGGTACAAGATTCAAAGCCTTGGTGACATCAAGGATCGCAGGACTTACGCAGCTCGGCCTCAGTCACTCAGTCAACCCATTCCAACTGGGCTAGATGGGGAGGAGGCCAATTCATGTTCATTGGCTATTATGTGGCTACAGGCCCCTTCTTGGTGGGTTCCACACCTGTTCGCCTCTTGCCATCAGATTCAAGAAATCGCCAGTGCAGCCAGAAGAGTTTGCGCCGAGCTCATGTACTTGCCAGGCGTTGCTTGTCAGTCGAGGTTGCGGCGGGGCAGTGGTTTTCCTGTGTCAAGCGAACTGCCAAGCCACGAAGACAAGAAGGCACGAAGCCGCCAATCCACCAATCCACCAATCCACTAAGGACAAGATCATCGCGGAGTATGGAGACACTCACCCAAATCTGTGCCAGCGACTTGAGTATCTGTTCTTTGCGCAGGACGCTGCGCGCGCGAGGGGCATCAGGCCTCCCCTGAACTCGGCTGACCAGTTGGTGATACACGTTTCTGACGCTGTGTGGCTGGGGCCAGTTTTTTTTGGGGGGTTGTTCTTTGGGTGTCCTTTCCCGGACCACAATCCGATCCGCGGCTTTCCCAACGTCATAGGAACGTTGCCAGGTGCAGTGGTAACCAGTAGACATGGTTTGATTCCAAGGACCAAGGCATGCAGCTATGCAAGGTGAAGTGAACTAGCTTGCTGGAGGTTTCCAATAGCCCCTGGGTGCATATCTCACCCATGTCCGGTCTCAACTTGACTAAGCCCTCTTTATGCGACTGTCCAGAAGTCCCGCCAGATTGCCAAATGGGAAGGCACCACCGACTAGCCTCCCAACCACGCGGCCCTGTATCCCCGATTGGGCAGTGCAAATTCATTTAGTGCGGCTTATGGTGAGGCTTTGTATGACCTCAATAGCTTTATTGGTGGGAGGGGCCGGGTAAGGGGCCAGTTGTTCCCTTGAGGACATCCTACTCAGAATGGCGGTGCCACATGTGCTCTCCAAGCATGTATGAGCCTAAAGTCCTACGTACATACCCCAAGTGGACATATCCCACTGTTCAGCCATGTAAAAGACGAGTGAGTGTGTGTGTGTGTGTGCGCGCGCGTGCGCGTGTGTGCATGTGTGCGTGTGTGCGTCGAGTACATTAGTTTTGCGGATTGCCCACCTAGCCAACTTTTTGATGTAAGTTGATTTGGGGCATGCAACTAAGGACCTTGCATCAAAGGGCGGCGTGCAGGGGTCGGGACTCTCATTCCCAGTTTCCATGCTTGGTCTTGGTCTCAAACACGCCGCGTAACGCCTTGCATTGTGTTGTGGAAATGGCGAAGTGTTGTGACAGGTAGTTTCATTGATCCTTGGTCCCACGTTTGGCTGGCTTTTCTCTCCAGCGCCTCAATTCGGAGCACCTCGTATGAGCCACTCACTCAGCGGTACAGCACGCCTCAATGCAACACCGAGGCGAGGGGAACAATACCAGGGAGTTGTTCCAAGGCCAAACCAATTTTCGATCCGCCGTTTCTTTCGGTTTCTGGCCCCCCACAGGTCTCGGATCGGATCAAACCAACCCCCCCCCCGAAGACGAAGAATGAAGGGGTTTATCCGCACATCTGGGAGAATTACTTTCCTTGTACCTTTTTACATGGGGGGTTCGTCTTTGAGAGGCCCTTTTGGTTGTATCACAGAAGTGGTCATTTCCCACCTGCTCCGATTTGTTTCTTCCCGGAAAGTCCCTGGACTTTTTGAAGGGCATCTTGAGCTTCTGAAGCGATGCCAGAGAGGAGAGCCAGCGCGCCCGCTAGGAGCGCTTCGAGGCGATGGTGAAGGCCTGGACCGAGGGCAACATCAAAGAGGCGGGTCGAGTTGTGGCTCCAACGAGCTCGCACGTGCAGCTCCCTTGGGTTGGTCGATTTTTGTGTTGGCATTGCAAATGTAGATTTGCTGAAGCGACTTGGGTTTATTACCGGTTTTAATGGGACATAGTCAAGACTGCCTCATGGCTGGTAAACTGACCAGAAGAAATATTGCGTCCTCGGGCAGTCCCCAAATTCCCTGTGTGGGGGGACTGTCAAGCCACTGATAAACAATGGGAGCCCCAAACATTTCAGGGCATTTCACGCTTTTCGCTTTGGTTGATCGGCCAACATCGTGGTTTCAGCTTGGCAAACAAGACGCTTGTAAGGCTTGGGAAAGCGCACAAATCGGAAGGCATTCCAAAATTTGGCTTCTGTCTGCAACCATGCAAAAGGTTCACAAGTTTAGATTGAAACCTCAGCGGGGGAGGTTTTCTACGTCTGGCTCGCGTAGGTTGGCGCCATCTTCCGCCGGGACGGCATTGGCCTGCGCCCTTTGGCATGAGAAGGGGGTGCGATTGGAAGCCGTGATAGCAGGAAAGGCACGCGAAAAATTGTGAATTTCATGGCTTGAAAGTTATGGGATGCTGCTATGAATGAATGATTACATATAGAGATGTATATACACAGAAATTATACATACCCCAGAGGGTCCAAAACCTTTCTCAGGAGGTGTCTGGCCAAGTCGTTTCTGTGGAAGGTTGCGGGCCCAAATCCTTGTCAGCGTGGTCTTGGCCCCAAAGCCGTCCTCCGGTTGATTTGGCCCGAGGGGTCTGGTGGGGAGCATCGGGTCATGCTACTTAACAGCAACTTTGATCCATGATGGGTTCAAGTATGGTTGGTAATAGCTTTCCGCTTAATTCACACATACTGCCATGGGCCTGCTTCGGTCTGCTGCTCTTCGTGGTACGCCCCCGCCCGGCTTTGGCACATGTTCTTTATGACCCAATCATGTTAAACAGGTTGATCCCATTTTAGATCTAAACGTTCTTTATGACCCAATCATGTTAAACAGTTTGATCCCTTTTAGACTGGCCTGCACATGTGTCTGATTGCATTTGGAGCCCTGCCAGCATCTGCTTTTCATCCGACTCGCTATCGGCATCAGCTGCGGGCTCTCAGAGATCGCCTTGGCAGCGATGGCTTGCGTCATCGAGGTGGAGGGGCCAAAGGATCTGCAGGTGGTGGCTCCACTCAGGCTGAGGATCTCAGAGTCTTTCATGCAATTACCATATCGAATGGAGCAATCCATATCAAAGCTATGAGTTCGCATGCTCACTGCCCATTCGAAGTGTGGGCTTGGTCTTCACTCATGTGATTTCATGTGCATGGGTCGAATGTGCTGTTACCCAATTCAAGTTACCCTCAGGAAACCGCCCAGGCGATCTTCCAGGCAGAGCTTCTAGATCTAGATCTGTTAACATGTATAGAACTGAAGCTGCCTGCAAGGCGAAGGGCAAGCGCAAGGAGGAGGCCAAGGAGGGGGAGAGCCCGGTGGAGGCCAAGCGCAAGCGCAAGGGGGAGACCAAGCAGGGAGAGAACACGGCGGAGTCTGCAGACCTGAAGCCACAGGGCAAAAGCAAGCGCACCAAAAAGCCGGCCAAGGAGGAGGGGGAGATCCCGGTGGAGGCAGCAGACAGCAAGCCGAAGGGCAAGCGCAAGGGGGAGGCCAAGGAGGGGGAGAACCCGATAAAAGCAGCAGGCAAGCAGAAGGACAAGCGCAAGGGGGAGGCCACAAAGCCACGTGCCAAAGCAAGTGACAAAAAGGCCACTGCCGATGGCCCCAATTCGTCTCAAGCAAAGCGCCTGCAAAAGGCACAAGAAACGCGCGCGCAGAAAGCAAGGGAAGGGTTGCAACGGCTGGTCCGGCTTCGCATTCCTAGTCTCCCGCTGCCAAACCTGGAGCTGTTCAACAGGCTGCCCGCAACCAAGGTGCATGTAAGCACATTCGAACTTGTAGGTTTTCCACATATTTATATAATATATTAACAGCCTTATACTGTTCACTTGTATGACCCGATTGAGACTTGCCCATCGAAAGGCATTGGGGTTGTTTGCAACTCGGAGTCTTTCTACGTCAACACGGTCCTCCAGCTTGAGGGTACCGGCTACTTTCAGGCTGGCCATTCTTAAATCCTGTTGGGGTGATGCATCATGCGTTTGAACTGTCCAGGCTGATGCAAAGGGTGGCTGCACAATCCCATGGGGGGTATCGCCGGGCAAAGCGCAAGCCTGGCATGCTTTTTGCAGTTTGCATTTGCAAGGCTATTTGAAACGCAACTTGGCAGGTGGCACATCGCGAAGCAGGTGGCTGGATGGCTCATGGATCCGGAGGCTCAACGCTCAATGCCAATCAATATTCAACGTGGTGCCTGGCATTGATCATTGAACACATGCAGGTAGTAATCAAAATGCAACATGTGGCTCAAACTCAAGTGTAACACCCAGCTCATGCCCATGAAAAACTGGCAGGAGCCCAAGGATGTGGACTGAGCCCTCTCCCCACAACCAGGCCTGCAAGGTTGAATGCACTTGTTGATATCCCGATGGCCTGGGCAAGTGCTGAGGATCGATCAATGTGAGCTGCCTTTTTGTACGTAGGCCCGTTCACTGCATGGCCATTGAACCTGCAAAAATGAGTCTAGCTATAGGCCCAATGCAATCAAAGTTGGCCCTTAAAATAGTGGAATTTAAATGGCTACGGGCTTGCAGAACGGGACTGGGTGTATGTGTGGATTCACACATATGCGGTTAATTGCTGATCACAATGCAATTTGCGGATGAATATACTTTCGCAAGGGTGCTTGGAATGTGCAAAAAGTGTCATTGCGCAGGGACCCTTTGATCTGACCAGCTGCAGCTGGAGCTTGTGAGCCGTGTTGTTCTAACATGTTCTCACCATCAAGTGTGGTTCATGAGTGGATCAAGCAAGGGCCATTTGAGGTTTAGCTAGGCGTTGCTGCGCAATGCTGCGGAGCCAACGGAGTGTGTTCCTCTCTGCCTTCCAGGTTGCTGTTCTGTTGGCCTTGGGAGCTCCCCCGCTACTGTCCCTACCCCAGTACCCGGTACCAGTAATTCACATATTTCAATGCTGTGATCATTCACAATGCATGTGTCAAGGGCCTTTCCTGGCCTGCCCTACTGAGGGTGCACCTGGCTGATTTCGCAGCTCAAAGCCTTCCGGAAAATGCCACACGTGATTTGTGCGCAGTGGAACTGTTCAGTGGATGTGGAGCTGTGGTCAGTGGCTTCCGCCTGATTCTCAGTGATCATGGTCTGTGGTGTGATAGTGGGCCTTCCAAACAAATGGTTTGAACATGATCTGCAGGTGTGAGGGGAGCCAATGCGTCTGAGTCCCAGCTCATACATTTCCTGCCACACGTGTGGAGTGATAGCCACACCATGAGGCAGCCTTTTGATGTCTGCCAGGATCCCGTGCTGGAGAACATGCAAACTTCACTTGGACTGCTCCATGCAGTAGGATTGATTTTGAGGCTGAAAGGCACGGGACTCGTTTACAGTGGACTTCCTTGCAACAGCTTCACTTACTTAAGCTCATCCCAACACCGCCGAAGCGAAGCAGATCCTTTTGGATGTCGGTTTCCGTTTGTGCAAGAAGGAAATTGCATGGCAACCCGATCGACATTATTACTTCTTTTGGCTATTTGCCGTGGATGCACATGGATGCTTGAAAATCCCCTTCGGTCTATGTGCCCAACCTTTCCGTATATGCAAAACATCCTCACCATGAAAGAGCTCTGGCCGGCCAGAGTGTTTTGGTCATGACCTTAGCTCATGACTCATGATCATGCTAGAATGGCAACTGACCATGGTCGGCATCTCCTACCAATTTCCTTGGGCTAAGGTTTATGGCGAGCTATGGGTTGTCCTCTCGGAAGCCCCAGAAGCTCTACAAGAAGCTGACACAAGAAGTGAAAGACCGAGTGAAGAAGAACAAGGACACACATCAAATGGTGAAAACTTCCATCAACAAGACCACTGGTACAAAGTACATGCACTTTCCTTAGCTACCAACATTTGATGTGATGCTTCCATTCAGTACTTGCTTGGGGTGTGCTAAACACTGACCTTGCCAAGATCTGGGGGACGTGATCTCCATTCATCAGCCCGCTACCGCTAGGCCTTTGGAGCTGAGATCGCACGCCTCCACCTTGCATGGATGGAGACTTGGTTTGTGAGCCATGAGTGGGGGGGAGACAAGTAGTTTGTAGTGTTTTGGAAATGGCCTGCCATCAAATAATGTTTCCCTCAGATCCCTGATCATGACACAAATTGCACTGCATGTGTGCTGAGGAGACCAATCCAGAGGTCCCAGACTTGAAGGAGATTGTCGTGAACAAAGGGTTCCAGGACAAGTGCTGGTGGTGATGGGCCCAAGTTGGGTGAAACCATTTTTGCAACTGGCCTGGCACAATAGCTGTGCTTGGTTTGGGGGTCCTGCAGTTGCAATTGTTCTGTGGTTTTGGTAGCCCATGCATGTTACTTGCAGTCAGCCATGAGGGTATCGGTCTGAGCCAAGCAACCACTAACCCCCTAAGCTAATTTTCAGCTAGGGGCTTGATCCCATTAAGAAATCAACTTATAAGCGTTGGATGTTTCCACTGATATGTTTGTGGGTGAAGTGGTAGCCCATGCATGTTACTTGCAGTCAGCACACCTATATGCAAGGCCATGAGGGTATCGGTCTGAGCCAAGCAACCACTAACCCCCTAAGCTAATTTTCGGCTAGGGGCTTGATCCAATTAAGAAATCAACTTAAGTTTGCGTTGGATGTTTCCACTGAACTGTTTGCGGGTGAAGTGGTAGCCCATGCATGTTACCTGCAGTCAGCACATCTACATGCAATGCCATGAGGGTATCGGTCTGAGCCAAGCAACCACTAACCCCCTAAGCTAATTTTCAGCTATAGGGGCTTGATCCCATTTTGAAATCAACTTAAGTTTGATTGGATGTTTCCACTGAAATGTTTGTGGGTGAAGGGACAAAAGCTTAAAGCGTGCTAATGATCAGGCACGTGAATTGCCCTTTAAAAATGATATCAGTGCCAATCCCTTGATTCTCAGGAGGCTGGAGGGGACTGGAGCCACGCAGCCCTTGAGCCACTTCTGGGCTTGCTGAAGCAAGCGGTAATTGACCGCCGCTTTAGTCCAGACCGTTTGCTCCCAATGAGCTTGCATTCCTCAGCGGAATTGTTCAGTGCTGCCCGTGACCGGTGGCAGGGCATGTCCTGAGTTGCACTCAGTTTGCCAGGTCCCTGACATTGATATTCAGGAAGACATACATGCAGGTAGCAGCTGGGTTGTCATATCCCAGATTCAGGCTGCCCAGGACTCGGATTGAGACTGGCCAAATCCGCCCTTGACTTCACCACATGCACTGATCTGTCTGGATGTGTGTGTTCAGCACTTTGTTTATTATCAGTGTTGGGATGTGCAAATTGCAACTGTTCAAGCCGTTGATCATAGCCCTC